TTCTAGGGTGAAGTCTAACCATTCCTTAGTCGATAGGTTGAGAGGGTCGCATTAGCGACTTGGATCATATCCCATTTCCTCAACTTAGAGAATAAGAGGGTAGACTTGGTTACTTGTTAGACTTCCCTGCGATTTATAACCCCCTAACCACACACGGTGGTTCGATTCTTCAACTCGTAATTGTTAGCTAGGGGGAGCAACACCCGGGTGAAGCCTTCTCAATTAGTGTCAAATCCATTTTACATTTGCAAAGACTTTAGTTTTAGACCTTTGTTTTCACCAAAAACTAATATGCTAGATAATGTTTCAAATAGTCGAAGTAGCGGTACATGGGTCGGCCGGGTCGATATTTAACCATACTTGCCCTATATTGCACCCATCTAAGGTTTATACTTAGGCCTTAGGTGAGATTTTATTGTGTTAGTTAGAGAAAGTCAATCACACCAAATCTCATCCTCGTACTCTCCAATCTTAAAATGAACCTTAACTTTTTTAGTAACCTTGATAGAGCCATATTCATTCAACCAGTGAAGAGGATAGTGTTGAGGATATTTGATAGTACTCAGCCCCAGCTTCTTAGCTGCATCCAGGCTTACGACATTGGTGCAACTACCACCATCAATCACTAATGACAACAACTTCTCATCAATTTTACAACGGGTGTGAAATAGATTATCTCGTTGTTCTTGGTCAGCTAAAGCTTCCATGGAGAGCACCATATGATTGTCTCCAATAAATTTACCTGTTGGAGGGGTTTCAACAATGATGTGCTCATCATCATCATCATCAGAATCGATCCTAGTCCCCATTGGCTTCTCTTCTTCTTCTTCTTCTTCTTATTCTTCTTCTTCTCTAGAAACTTATTAACCATCTCACAAAATCAGAGCTTTCTTGTTGGGGCATTAATTCTCCTAGAGCAAGCTTGGTCGCATGGGAATACCTTCTTCCAGTAGTTGCTTTCAGCTGCTTTTCCACCTTAATTGCTAGGTGTACCACCTCCTCCAACTCCACGAATAGTCGAAACTCTACCTCCTGCCTAGTCTCTCAATTAAGTCTATGGAGGAATATGGAGATAGTAACATCTTTATCTTCACATATATCTGCTCTCATCATGAGCAGTTTAAGTTCTCTGAAGTATTCTTCAACGGGGCGTGCTCCTTGACGCAGACTTTGCAACGAATCAAAGAGCTCCTTTTGATAATAAGGAGGCAAGAATCTATCACACACTAGGCCTCTTAATTCTTCTCAAGTAGAGACGGAAGGTTGCAAATTTCTTCTTCGCCGAAATTAGACTTGTTCCCTCCAAGCTGTGACATAATCTGAAAAGCTCCTAATTCGTGAATTTGGTTGAGGTGAGATTGGGTTCGTGGATCGGATTAGGAGGGGATTAGTTGCATGACCACTGATCTAGCTCTCATATTAGTGATTCCCGCACTTCATTCCCCATAAACTGGCAATTCTATCTTCTTGCATGACATACCTAGTAACTAGAGCGAGGGCGATGCCGCGAGTACTTGCTTTCTCATTTTTTCTTTCGTTGCCAGTTATTTCCAATTTTTCTCCAACCAATCCAAACCCGATCTACTAGATAACAACCGAGTGAGAAATAGACTATGATACCGAGACCCATGGAATACAACCTTGGTCAACCACTATACTAGCAATGCCATCTTGAGTTATAGTTAGCTCAAGATGAGGTAGTTAGTTAAGTCGTGCACCCAAATTATGACCCACAAGGAGCGACAACCATTGACCAACGGTGAAACGAAAATGTAAAGTTAGTGATTACGAAGGAAATAAAATATTTTTATTGATCAGACGTAACAATCTTAGTGACTAAATTTGCAATTTACCCAATATATGCCTATATTCTCCTAAAATTGATTTGAACTAACATAAACCGATTGTATCACCGATCATACCATACTACTAGTCATACCGATATAACGGGATAAACCTGTTTGAAAGCTTTGAAATACGCAATGCATGTCATGACTCATACAAGTCACAAGTTACAAGAAAATCGTCTCAAACGCAAAATATGTTGTCGTTTAATGAGGTGCAGTGCAGACAAGGTTGTCAAACCAGGTTAAGTTATTCAACCGGTCAAACAAGGAGTTTGAGGCTTATTGGTCTGATTGGGGTCCGACAGGTTTGTGCCGTTTTATACGTTTTCTAAATATATGTACAAATAAGGTAAAAATTAACGAATGAAATGAAATTTATCTCACTTGTATCTATTTAAAACTTATTTCTCACAAAATAACACCTACCTAATTTTCATAACTTACCGACCATCTTCATTCCTTCTTTCCCCTGCTCCCTTTCCTCTCTTTTCTTATCCTTCTTTTAGGATCAGATTGGGGTAGGGATGACAACAAAACCCGAACCCATGGGTACCCACCCGACCCAACCCGGTCAACACGGGTAAAACCCGTGTTGACAGGTTTTGGGCCGGGTTCGGGTTTAAACCCGCTACACTATTCACCGGGTCGGGTTGGGTTTGGGTTTAGATAAACCCGGCCCATGGGTACCCGTCCACACACATATAATTACTTTCCCGGTATATTTAATATTCTAAATAATATATCTTCGTTAAATAACTAATATTCTTTATGTTTGTGGAGACATGTATAATTTGTTCTTTCTAATTGTTTAGAATGAAGTTGATATTATGAAGTGGATAGTGAAGAAACTTAGTTGACGAGGAAAAAGCTTTCAATTAATCTTATTGTTTATAGATGTTTATCTTTAATTTTGAACAATTTGTATTGATCATTTGCGGTTTGCTTGTATGCATTAGATTGGTGTTTTTTGTATGAATAATTTGTATGATAAAATTGATGTTAAATTTTTATTTTGAAAGAAACTTGTTATGGTAAATTTTTTACCACAAAAAATCCACAGGTACCCATGAACCCGCGGATACCCAGCGGGTTGGGTTGGGTTAGAGTTTTTCTAACCGAACGGGTTTTACCCCGGGTTTTTTTTGGCAGATAAACCCATGACTTTGGGTTTGACAAAACCCGCCCCAACCCGACCCGTTGCCATCCCTAGATTGGGGCTTTCTGTATGCCGTTTTGAAGCCCGATTTGGGTCCGACCGGATCCAACCGGGGCCGATAGGGGTTTAACCACTGAAATCCTTTGGCGGTGTGAGAAGGAAAATGCAAACCAAAAGGGCTGCTCTGAAGTCTGAACCCTCAGGGGTTTCCGCCGTTTGAGCTTCCACCCTAACTCTCACGTCGGTGTCGCCACTGCCGGTCCGCCAAACGCTGTCGAGCGAGAATCTTTCACTTTCCACTCACCTTCCGGAGAAACGCCGTTGCCACCATTCCGGCACCTTCACCGTCATCTTCGAGAGGAACGCTTGTCGCCTGCCAACTATCCACTGGTGAGTTGTTGCTTGGTGCTGTACGTGTAGTTCTGATAATGTTGCTGCTTCTATGTGTTTGGTCCTTGGGGTTTGCCGGGTAATATAGTTTTTCGAATTGGGGATTCACTTTATATAATCCAATGAAAATCCCCATCGAATGATATAATCCACAAATTTTAGAACTTGAATGATGAATTACTAGTGTTCCGAAAAGCTTTGCTCTTGCTTATGGGTTCGGATAGAATATGGAATTGCAATTTATAAAGACGACCCCTCTTTGGAGCAATAAAGCCAAGCTTGTTTGATTGCTAGTCTTCACCGGCACAAGGTGTAAGGATATTCTTACAGGATGCTACCATTTTGGATGTAGAGGTCATAAGTTTGAGCAGATGGTGAGTCAAATGCTTTCATCTCCATTTTACTAGGCCGTATTTAGATTATATATGTGTCTTTGCCACCTGCTCATAGCTTCTTTGCCTATAAGTTTTAAGTGCTTTGGGTTGGATCTAATTTTGTTAATTCGTTACTCTGGACTCAGCCATGTTAGCTCATTGATTTTTGATCTGTTCATTGTCTTCATCCCTTCTAGGACATCCAATAAAACTGTATTTGCTCATTGTCTTCCCTCTTCACTGCCGAAACCTGGACCAAATATCCTTACACAGAGACTCTTTGATGTGCATATCATATGTGGGGTAACCTGTCTTAATTATAAAGTCCAAGCTAATCATGATTAACTTTGTTTTAGTCCTGCAATTGTTTTCCAACATAATCTTCTTAATCAGTTGATGCTTATCTACCTGGCTCAATGCTCTTTGAATTAGTAAATACACGAATATCTTGTGTGCTACATTTGAATCTTAGAATGTATAGATATTATGATGCTTTGACTGAATTAGGTAAGTTGGAGTGGTTTCAGTATTACGTTACCTTTTCTTTTCAGTAGGAGTTGATGACTTGTAAAGTTCCAAAAAAAAGTTGATGACTTGTATGCCAAAAGAAAATTTAGATTGGAAAATGTTCTTTCAATGCATATATCTAATTTATTGTCAAATTTATTAGTTGAGCTCTATTTGAGTTGTATGTTGAATTCAGATACTAGATTTTGTTCTTAAAAGACCAACTATGCAAATGTTTCTTATCATGCACTTTTACTTTGAATGGAATGGTCTTATAGGTGTTCATGTAGTTAGATATTATGATGAAAAGGAAGCTGCTTTTTCCAGGCCAGATATCTGAAGTTTATATACCCAGGGAGCTCAAGCTCAAGCTTAATTAAGTAGAAGTTGTACCTTAGTATCTTTCAAGCCAAAATCTTTAAGCTCATTCTCAAGCTTTTGTCTAGTCAAGCTCGATTTGGAATTTTCCTAAATGATTTGTTGTTTGAAGCTTGTGTGAGCCGACCTCTAGGTGAGGGTTATCCTTTTGGAGTTCAATTAAAGCTTTGCGATCGAGGTCTACTCCATGCTTTCCTCCTCTTTAGGTTAGTGGTAAATATACTGTGTGGCGAAAGCCAAGATGCATGAATCTTACTCTTCTGAAGACGATTTTTAAATAGGTCAATTGCAGTGGTCTATCAATTTTGAAAAGAGCTGTAGAAGCTTGCACTCACGGAGGCACTGTAGATGCTGGCGGCCACAAACTGCAGCCATAAGATGGAGCTGCAGCAACAGTTGAAGGAGAAGAAGATTAAAAACCTTAATCACCAACGCCTTCCGCTGAATCCCAACTGGGCTCAACTCCAACAAGTAAAAGTTTTGTTTTATTCCTTAGTTTCCTTTATATGCCTTTTCCTTCTGCCGCATTCATCTTCTTCCGCCTATGCAGAAGCTGAACCTCCGCCCTGGTTTGAAGCCGTCGAGGCCCTCAGACCATCTGAATCCAGGAACTCAGAGGCTTGTTTTAGGTGAAAAACATGTTCTCTTGATCACCTATCTCAAGGAACTTTATGATACTTGGTTGTAAAAGCTTCTGAGATTTTGGACTACCTTCTCGCAGGAAAGCGTAAAGATAGAACCGATGAGCAGTCTGAGGATCCTAAGCAGAGTCCTCTTGTGCCGTCGAACGATGATTTCAGGTTCTAATTTCCTACTTTTAATAGTGTTTGATCCTTTTATGGATTGAAAGTATGGTGTCGTTACTCGTTACAGCTGGTATGTGCTATGTGTTTTTCAAAATGTGCCCGACATAGCCAATAATTCCATTGCTCAGCCCCATAAATTGAAGAAAATCACAACTGTATTCATGGTGAAGAAAGTTTTTGCATTCAATTGTCAATACTAGTTATGCAGCAATGGGTAGGTAAAACATTTATCGAGTTATACATTGCCAGAGAATATGGTAAGTTGAGTGCTAGATCTCGTCGAATGGGTTCAAGTTATTGGCCGGAGTCGTTATGCATAGTACGAGATCCTATATTAGTAAGAGGTTGAGAGTTTGAATTTTAGTATTTTACGCAGTTTGAGTTTGATGAAGGGTGCTGGAAAATTCATGACATATGACTCTTTTCTATGTTTTCGTAACACCCTAGGTACAAGTTATCACGTCAAAGTGGGTTCTTAGTAGATATTAACATAGTAGAAAGTACCAGTTTAGAAAGTGCTTCTAAGAGCAAAAACTGTTTGAGGAATCTGTTGCTATGCTTTCTATATGTATAGAGCAGGAAATTTCCAGATTGCTTCTATGCTTTCCACTGAAGAAAGGCTTTCTGTATATAATACATATTTTTCAAATGGATGATTGAAAGCGAATAGGTACTATGGATGATAAAGACAGCACAAGAGCATACTTAAAATTTGAAAAATAGGTAGTAGATGGAGTTACCCTAATGTGTAAAGATTAATTTCTTTTGAAGTGTTGTTTAGAGTTTGGAATATCTGTCGAGGCTTTTGGACAGCAGATGTTTTCTGCTCTGAAACCTTTTTGGTGTACTTTTGGCTGTGAAGCTGTGCATCAAAAGCACTAATACTTGTTTTATACATAAAAAGGATCTCCGTTTTAACCAACAATGATCATCCAGTTTGACAGATGCTGTCGCCATGGATTGTGAAATGGTTGGTGTTGGTCAGGCAAACCGAAGTGCTCTTGGACGAGTTACATTGGTAATTCCTATTTTCCATTGCTTTCCATTTTCCGCATTTTGAATGTAGTGTCGTGCCCAAGCTGAGCTTCTTAACCTTCAGCTAACTGTCAATTTTGCCACTGGGGATCTCTATTAGTTGTCTAGCTTGTTCAAATCCTGAGTCATTTTCTATTGCTTTCTATTTTCTATAAGCAAGACAACTCCATGTCAGTCCAAATACTTTAATCTTTCTTGTGCATCTGTTGTCCATTGACTAGTTTGAGTTTCTTTATTGTGTAGATCTTTTTATCTTTTTGTTTGAATATTTGTGTCTCTTTGGAGAAATACAGATGCCAGTGTAAGACCTCTTAGGTTCTAGGCAAGGAAATCTCAGCGTCTCCTTGCATTAGTTAATATGGAAGTCGTCTGATTATTGCATGTTGGACAATAGTTTGGCGTCTGATATTGATTCAATCAATCCAGGTAAATAAGTGGGGAAACGTTATATATGATCAATTTGTTCGACCCATGGAGTTAGTTGCAGACTTCCGCACACATATTAGTGGAATTCGACCAAAGGACTTGAAAAAAGGTGGGGTTGCTGGTCTCACATGATACTGATCACTCTGTACAGCTATGCAGAATGTCGTTTTTTTCTTCTATTACTGGATTCTTCTGTACCCCTTTCAGTTTCTGAAATCGACCTCTGTCTAATATAAACTTGATAAATCAATGTAGTATGAATAACTTTCATAATGTCTTGATGCATTGCAATGTCCGTATTTCATTTGAGTGTCGACCTTAATTTGGCATACTATTTCAGTGTTTAATTGCCTTTTAACTGTACCAATTGGTCAATGCATCTGGGTGTTAGCAGTTGGATCAATTGCTATAATTCATCAATTGTGGTTGTATTCTTGAGATATGGGTCTATGCTCCTCCTCCTTGAAGTCAAAGTGCCAGTTTAATGCTGGGGGACTGTTATTGGTTCTTCCCCTGTAAATAAATCAAGAATACTTAGCGGTGTCCTCATATTAACTTTCAATACTTTTTGGCCTCTCGATCTGATATTTTGAACCAAAATCATAAATTTCTATGCCTCTTAAATATTGTACTCGACTTCTTTCACAATCTTCCATTCAAATGACGCTGAAAGAAATTCTGCCATAATGTCTTGGGATAAGGAAACATTATTAGGATAAATGAACTGAATGTCATTAGGTTTTCTCTTATGTTAAATGTCTTAGCTATGTAGTAACGTGTTGGAGTTAATCGTGTAGTTCTAAAAAAGATTGCATTAAGACCTTTAACTTCTCTCTAGCTAATAATCGAAACAATGACCTTGAACCTGACTTATTTGTTTGTCTTGCAGCCAAGAATTTTCCAGCTGTGCAGAAGGAAGTGTCCCAATTGATTATGGGAAGGATTCTTGTGGGCCATGCCCTGTCCAACGATTTTAAGGTTCAGTTCCTGGTTTTCATTTCTTAGTCCACGTTGAGGACATCTGGTCAGAAGTGTTGAATGATTTGTCTTCTTTTTCCCCACATAGGCATTGCTATTAAACCATCCAAAAAAGGACCTGCGTGATTCTTCAGAGTACCCACCTTTCCTCAAGTACAGTCGAGCCCCTTGGTTTAGATCACTATTGAGTGTTCAGTTTAATGAACATGGTTTTGGTTTCCATGCGTGTCTTTACTAATATGGTGTAGTTGGTTGAACCAGGGACGGACGGAGGAAGTCGCTTAAGCATCTTGCATCCGAGTTTCTTGGTGTCAATATACAATATGGAGAGCACTGCTCTGTAAGTCAAACCTGGTCATAGTACTAATCATTTCTCGCTACAGATTTCTGACTTGGCATTGCAGCTGATGAAGGAACACGCATTATCGGTGACATGTCTTGCTATTTCAGATAGAAGATGCAAGAGCCACAATGTTACTTTATCAGAAGAACAGGAAGGAGTGGGAAAAGTTTGCTAAGTATCAAACCAGGTTGAAACAGAAACAGCAGAAACACAAGCAGAAACGGAAACCAAAGGAAACTGATGTTTCAAATGCGCACGATGCTTCTGCAGCTTCACCATAATGGGCATGGCTGCTGATGTTTGATGATGATTGAAGAGAAGACTCAATCTACGCAATCTAGGGGCTTCTCGTCCTTTTTCTATGCCTGGAGTTTGGGGAGGGGTTCAAAAGACGGCAGCATAGAGAGAGTTTGGGTCGTCAGCAAGTGAAGTTAGATATGGCTAGGAAGCGAAGTCGAGTGGTTCTCGTGAGCATGATGACCTGGTCCCTGGTAGTCTTTTGTTGCGGCTCTTACTCTTCTCTTTGCTTTGATCAGAATCAGGAACCTCGTGTACTGGAATCAATCCCACAACTATTTGATAATTTTTTCGCACAGAAGATAATTAAATAAGGACTCATCTAGTAATTGTAGTAGTAATGTTACAATAGAGCTACAACCACTGGTAATACTATGAAATGAAATTATTATGGAGGTTGTCAATTTTCTATGTTTAGTTATTTCATTGTACCTCAATAGTATTAATGTTCCGATAAAAAAAAATCGATAAAAAAATAGTATTACGCTCTGTTTGGCAACAAGGGTGGTGCAAATTGCAGGGGGTGCAAGTTGAGGGGTAAATTGCTGGGAGTGCAAATTGCTGGGGGTGTAAGTGGAGGGGTAAATTGTTGTTTCGATGAAAAAGTAGGGGGGTGCAAATAGAGTGAAAAGTAAGTAATTATATTATTTTAAAGTAGATTTTTTAATTTTAAAATAGATTTTAAGATTATAAAATAGATTTTAAAATTTTAAAATATTTTCATAAAATAATAAAATAAATATTACTGTATAATAATAAATTTACTTTACTAAAAATAGTTATTATATAATAATGCTCAAATAATAATTAATTATAACAATTGTAATAATCATTGATCGAGCGATCTCAAAACTCGAAGCTCAACTCGTAACTGGTCATCCTATATAAGGTTTTCGTGTCTAGTTTAATCTTAAATTGTCAAACTTAGTCAAACACGTTCGAATTTGTAAGTTTTAACTATTTAGTCAAATAAACTGAGTTAACCAAACAATTTCTCTCTATCTTTTCCACAAACACCTCGTATCTCTAATTTTCAATGCAAATTCGATTCAACCAAGAGATCTAGATTTGACTTGACGAACATTGATAAACTTGTTTCCAGAGTCAAATGATCAACCCCGAATAATGTTTACATTAATGATATTTATAAAAAGAAGAAATTGATAATATTAATTATTATATAATTATATATAACACAGTTAGAAAAATAAAATTTCATAATTCCCCCTCCCCCTCTCCCTCTCTTCCTTCCTTCCCTTGCACCCCAATTCGGGGGGTAAGCCGAAACAGTAAATTTGCACTCCCTACTGTTCCAAATTAACCAAACAGTTGCAAATGTATTGGAAACTGTGTTTACCTCTCACATTTACACCCTCCTCCCATTACCCCTCTTCCCAAACAGAGTGTTAATGTTGAGAACAAAATAGTATGAAAATAACAAAAGGCCGTCTACACTATCCTTCTGCCTCTTGGAACGTTGCGGGCCGCACACAACCATCTTTCCCTCTCTCCCAGGCAAGGTTGTCAAACCAATTTAAGTTATTGAGCCGGTTAAAAGAGAGGTTTAAGATTTAATGATATGATCAGGGTCCAATCAGTTTTAGACATTTTCTAAATATATATACAAATACCAGGGGTTAAGAGAGGAGCATTTCTACTATGCTATATAGTATTGGTGCTTTAATGTACAACTTAAAGTTGTACCATAACATGAAATGTATAAGTTTAGATTGTACCATAAAAGAATTTGTACCATTATGTTATGGTACAACTTTACAACTTGAAGTTGTACGATCACATAAAAGTACAACTTCAAGTTGTACCATAAAAGAATTTGTACAAACAGTATATGTATAATCTAAAGTTGTACCATAACGTTAAATGTACAATTTCAAATTGTACCATAAAGGCAAAAACCTATAGCACCAATACCATAAAGACAAAAACCTGCCGCTTCCTTTTTCCCTAACCGATTTTGATTCCGACTTCGTTTTCTCCCTCTCCACGGCCGATGTTGTTGTCCCTCTCCCAGTGAGTTCCCCTCTCCATCTCTATCTATCTTCATCGCACACTCTTTTTCTGTGTACAAATTGAGATCTGAAATGTTTTTAGTATGGTATTGATTGATTATTAATATGGTATTTGTTTGATTTATACTTTGTTACTAGTTGTAATCCTTAGAACTTTTGGATTTAGGTCCAACACATAATCAAATTATAGTTTGAGTCATTGAATTAATACGAGAACTAGAACTAGAACTAGAAGTCTAGAACTAGTTAAGTAACACAAACGGGCCAAAGTTAAGAAATAATAGACTATGGGCCAGCCACTCTAATAAGCAAAAAGGGCCACAGGCGCAAGCAATGTTCTAATATGTTGGTCCGTTGTACTTGTAATTGGGAGCTGTAGGCTAAACTAATTGAAGTTAGGATTAATAGAGTTCTGGGTTCTAAAAGTTGAAAAGAAAAGCATAAGAATTAAAGCTACAGGCGCCGCGAGCGCGAAGGGAGTCGTCGAGAAGTTGAGTAAGAGAGCACGCATATCGGTGTGATGAAGCTATGAATTTATACCTAAAATTATCTTTTGATCAGCTACAAGATAATCAATGAATTTATAAGATTATATCAATTATAATAATTAATATTATTTAAGTTCGATATTATGGATATTGATTTTAACTCCAGATTACTAACTAGTAAGTCATAGTAAGTAAGCATGAACATGAAATGAGGGAAGTGGACCTCTTGTAGTCGTAGGAGGTTATGACATGCCACGAGATTGAATAAAAAAATCAAAGTCTAGGAAGGTCGTGTTGCCTCACAAAGAGGGTCATATCCGTCTAGAATTCATGCTGCTCGAGGAAGAAGTCTCGCCGCGAATTACACGGGCTATGATGGTGATGAAGAGCACATGGCATGGTATCTCAAAGGAGACAAAAAAATTATTAAGTCTGAGAGGTCCACAGTGCTTCAGAGAAGGGGCATGAACACGACAAGAGACCGCAAGCACGATTGAAAAATACTCAGTATGAGAAGGTCATATGCCCTATCACGAGAAGGAGCATGAACATGAGTAATAAGTCCATGGCCGCAACACCTGTTCACCAAATGGTGGCAAAGAACGGTCAAGCCATGGAGGAAAACTGCCTAATGACGGTGGACAGTCACCATATGATAGAGGAGGCCATGGCTATTGCTCATCAGGCAAATTCTCAATTTGATTGTCTCAATACTAGCATGGGTAGACGTTTGGGTCAAATGCTTGAGGTAGTTGACTAAAATACGAGTGAGATTGATCAATTTAGGCAACTTCTAAATGGTCTAGTAGTGCAATCACGATCTTTGCCAACAGATGACACAAGTTCAATTCCAAATAATGCAAACTTTTCTCTCATCGGTGGTCGAAATGGCCATCCACGGCAAGATAACTTGCCGCCCTCGAAGATAATCCAACCTCCACCTCACCAGGTGAATCGCGGCGAGATTCCCGCCATTACTCAAGTGGAGGGATCACTTAATTTGTGTGTTGGAGAATTACCCGCACGTGGCGCAAATTTTGCCACTGTATTCAACACTCATGTTGAACAACCGCCACCCATACCAGTGGCAAGAACTTATGTAGTTACTCCTGCTAGCATGGGTGGAGGAGGAGGTGCAAGTATTGGGAATCAAGTTGATATGATCCAAATTGGCCAATTCTACGAGTCGCAATTACTTGCCAAAGAATCCATCAAGGTTGGGAAGAAAAGAGGCAGAATATGGCCAAGTGCTGGAACAATTTCGAGTTGCCTACTTTGGAGGCTTGGTTCTCACAATTGGCTCGACGAAAATTAAAGATTGGTGTTTATTGAATATGGAGTGCTTATCTATAGGTTGGATGCATTGGTGCATCCAGAACAAGTTAGTAAGTTAATTTTCCAAAGCCTTAAAGTTGCCATCTCAAAACAGGAAAACTGCCTGAAAATGGAATAAGTATGGAACGTGATTGTGAAGTCTACTTTGGAGCTCAATTCTAGAAGCATCGATGAGATTCGAGTCCGAAGGCTTCTACCATATGAAATTAGGTATGTTTTTCTAAAAAGGAAAGACATTGCATGAAGAAATGGCTATCTGGAAGGCCTCGAACGAAGGACTCAAAGATTGTCCAAAATCACAAAAATCTGCCTTGTAAAAATAGAATTTGTTTTCCTTGTTCAATTCGGAAAGAGAAGTGCATTTCACATGCCATAGTGAGGAGAAAGAAAACAATTCACTGGATTGTGTTATAATCTTGCTAGAAGAAGTCTAAGATGAGTCATCACTTGATGGAGTAGATTTTGCTATTGGAGATGTCATCGAACTTCACCAAAATTCGACCATGGGCATCGTCAACCTCCCAAGTACATCACCAACATCAAATTATGCTATTGAACATGGTCAATGCTTTACTCAATGCAATCCAATTCAAATTGGATATTATGGTGCGATTGTTCAACACGTGGAGTTTGTAATTGGAGATGAAGTGCCATATAAGGATGCTCATATTAGACAGAGACGAAGACTTCAAGGGTATGTGGATAAGGTTTCCATTCAAGGTGCATATTCAAGATGGGAAATAATGAAGTCATGGAAGAGCCTTTATATGTGGAAGCAAGATTTGAGGGCAAATCTTTTTCAAGAGGGAGGGAATGATGCGACCCCGCTCACCCCACATGACGTCACTCGAGCTCAAATTAGATCTCTACATGGACAATGGGTCAAGAGAAGATTTAAGAGGTTTAAAGGGATCTTGGGAGCTTTAAAGGTGGAAGAGAAGGGCTCTACAAGAAAGACCTACGAGTTTGTTCATGTGAAATTGAATGCTAACATATATAGTTCTTGTGGTCCAAAAATGAAGGTCCGAGTACAACGATACAAGGATCAAATGGGATCGTTCTTGATGGACATGGATTTGCATAAAGGAAATCCCATCATATTACTTCACTTCGTGGATCCAAATCACGAGA